TCCTAAAGAGAGTTAGAGAGACCCCAGAGACCGAACCAGATTACCGCACTACAGACGGGTTGCTGTTTGAGAAGACTAATGTGTTTGACCGCCTGTGCGTTCCCAACAGCGAAGAGATTCGTAGTCTAATTCTAGGGGAATGTCACGATACTGAGGGACACTTCGGTTGGCAAAAGACGTTTGCCAATCTGATGCGTGCGTACACATGGCCAAGGATGAAGAACGACTGCATAGAGTATGTCCGCAGTTGTAAAGTGTACCAGAGGAATAARTCTACTACACGCGCGCCCCTAGGTCTTCTCAGACCCTTGCCTATTCCAGATCAGTCGGGAGACTCAGTATCCATAGACTTCATGGACACGCAAGTCAAGAGCAGACATGGTAAGAGCCAAGTCATGGTCATAGTCAACCGTTTTAGTAAGTATGCAGTTTTTGTTCCCTTGCCTGCAGAGGCACGTACAGATTTAGTAATACAGAAGTTCTTTGACTTTTGGGTTAGTGAGAATGGAAGGCACGTACAGATTTAGTAATACAGAAGTTCTTTGACTTTTGGGTTAGTGAGAATGGAATCCCATTGTCAATAGTTAGTGATAGGGACAGTCGTTTCACCAGCCAGAACTGGCAAGAACTAATGAGAGTCTACGGATCTAAGTTGTTAATGTCGTCCGGCCGTCACCCATGGACTAACGGTCAGACAGAACAGATGAACAAGATCCTACAGCAAGTTCTGCGCATGTACATTAGACCAGATCAGATTAACTGGGATGAGATGTTGCCTAAGGTAGCTAGTGCATACAACAACAGCGTGCATCTATCCACCTGCCGCACCCCCAATGAGTTGCACAAGTCCTTCAGACCGCGCAGACCGTTCGAAGGACTGAACCGGGATCAGATTCACAGATTACCACCCGGTACCAGGGAGTTTGCGATACAGCACGAAAAGGAGTTAGTCACTGTTGTTGAGAACCTTCGGAAGGCCCAGCACAGAATGATAGAACAGGCTAACAAGCACCGACGCCCATCGCAGTTTCAGGTGGGTGACTTAGTCTGGGTCAAAGCAAAAGAGTTTGCACCGGAAGAAAACATCTCGCAAAAGTTACTGCCTGCATATAGAGGACCGTGGCCGGTTCTAGAAGTCAAGGGCGGAGAGGATGGACCGTCCTACA